ACTGTGCCCCCTGCACCTCTACACTTTGCAGAATTAAATCTAAACTTTGCAGTTTATCCTTTTATCCATTTTCTAATCCGCTTTATCCAGTAAGGGGTCGCAATGGGTGCAAGGCGGTATACACTAACTACAGGGAGGTACATTTAACATGGAGCGTTTTTTACAGAACAGAAGGTGGGAGTCTGGAGAAGTAGGTGTTGAGACTGTATATTACAGTACTCTGGCTTCTTTCAAGAAACAACTGGATGAATAACTTCCTGTATTTTAGCTTCTAGCAACTAAACAACCTAGATGGGCAGAATGATCTTCTCTCATTCGAATGCTTTCTCATTTAGCTTTGACCTTGACGTAGCTATCTTTAAGTGTAAATAATTCATTTAGATGATAAATGTACATTACTGAATGATTCCTTTACTTTCAATACCAATCCTCTGCAGTACCTTTCCTTTGTCTAGTTGTCACATGACTTCATAAAGCATGCTGAGATGGCACTTGTTATGAGTAGGGTGATCTGTAAAGTCATTAAAGAAATTGATGGGTTCGGTCAGTTGTAGATGAATCAGTTACTGCACAGTGCTTTCTGGAAATGCTAAAACTTACATTTCGACCTTGAGCCATCAGCTGGGATCTTCAGACTAGGAGATTCAAAACCCAGCTAATGGCATCATGAATATTTCTGTAAATATGGTTTCCTCTAGAGGCAAATAGAAGTCACTTGGGATGTCATCTGCGAGAAAATATCTGTGGCCGTGGCTTTGCAGTTATTGGTTTTGAGATGTGCTGAGTATCCCTTTGCAATCTAGTGGAAACTACAAGAGTGGGCATTGGTTTCCTTCAACAAAGGAGTGAAAACTGCACTTTAATTATTTAATTATATATTCCCTTTCTTAAAGTTTATCATCAGGCACTGCTGAGGTATTGTCCTAGTCTTCTCTCTCATACTACTGTAAAGTTTTTGATCTAGTCTCAAAGGTTGCTGTTGTAGGGATGCATGAAGTCATAGTAGTTCAGTGCAGTTTGAAACAAGTTTATTATGAAGGTCTCTAGAGAGCTGAGCAGAAAGAAACCAGCACGTCTTTATTCCTTATCTCTAATGAGGAAGAGTGCATTTTATAAACGAGACACGGCGCTGAACACAGCCCTCTTCTGTTACCATAAATATTGCATTAGAAAACAAGACACACAAGACACCCTTTGTTAAGAACCTATGTATTTAAACATCAACACATAAAAAGAAAGGGATCATACAATAATGATAATATAAATTTAAATCCTAAGACGGAGTGTGAATTCAAATGTGCAGTTCCATAGTCAGCTAAATACAGGTCCCATGTTTTTTAAAGATAAAGGAATTAAGTACAGTATAACTCAATTCTACTTTCTGTATACAGTGGTATTGTCCACCACGTGAACTTTTAGAATATAAATCCAGATGTGACCCAGTGAGGAATTTAATAGAGTGTTGTTGCTTTTGGCAAATGCTTTATTTAAGTCTTGTCAGGATGAATCACACTGTGATTATTTACTGTGAACTGTGATCCTGGCATACAATCAAATCATGCTTGACACCAAAAGTAAAAGAATCAGTCTTTGTGAGATAGTTTCCCTGGCTCAGATGAATTTCAGATGCTGTATCTATAAGAGCAAACTTCACTGCCATATTTCGTGTTTTATATGATAATTTTGAAAATTAAAAGTGCTACAGTATGTGGGAGGTGTGAAAAACAGTACATTTTTCTGACACTTATTAAAGGTAGGTCAGAAAGAATAACTTTATAATACAGAATGCAATTGGATTGTTTTTGAATGTGGTAATTTGCAGTGTTTTTATTTCTCCTGAAGGGATTGCTTGTCGTTTCAAGATTATTAAGTCTCTGAACGTGACATTTTTGAGTTATGGTTTTGACTATTTTCAAAGAACAAGCACAAAAAAAAAACATTTTAAATATCTAAATGTATCCTTTTCCTTATTTTCATTTTAATTCATTTTCAGTTAAAGTCTCCATAATATATTTGAAAATGAAAATACGGAGTTTATAACTGAAGTTTTAGAAGGTTAGATCCCAATCTTGCACACTTCTGCTCACTGATGTATGTAAATCTCGCACCCGGAACATCCTTACGTGCATCTCTTTCTCATTCCCCCACCACCTCTGCATCTACACCCTCACAGCAGCTCCCTAGTTCATTCCTTGCAATGGAGGGGGGTTTGGGCAGCATTATCCTCATAACTAGGCTGCCATTCCCTAAGCTAGCAGAGTCTCACTAAATACTTTTATTGTGTTCATTAAGATACAACTAAACTACTGAAATTAACATTAGCGAAATATTTGTGTCAATGGGGTTAGATAAATATTTAGTCTTTTCTTGAAAGCTTAAGTTTTTTCAAGGCGTGCTTATACACAGTGTGTAGTCAGATTTTCTGTGTAGAATGTTTAACCATTATATTGAAGGAAGACTTCAATGAGATTCTCTGTGGGACATTGGGATCATTCCTTTTTTTTAGAGAACAGCCCAAGAAATACATTTCAGAAAGCATCAGCTTTTATTTTTATAACATGCATATCTTTGTTGCATTGTGTCAAAAAAGCTTTCTTATTTGTTTTCAAAATGACTGCAGAAGCAGGATTTGCAAATGCCTGGAACTATTTATAATATATGACACAAAGTTAGTGCCAACAAAACAGCTGAAATACTCAAGGGCAGAAGCTTGGTCACTGACAGTAGAGTCTGATCTAAAAAAAACACAGATACAATCATGTCTGTCAGATAAATATCATTCACCACCTGTGTTGGGAAAATGTTACAGATGGGCTTTATTTTAAACTTTTTATGTCAGTTTTACAATATGAAAAAAAATTTAAAAAGATTAACATGAATGTCAGATTTTCATTTCTTTTGCATACAAACATGATAAAAGTAGAAGTTAATTGTCAAGGGAGAGCAATTATCTAGGCCAGGCTAAGGTTACCCTATTTCAATTAATTTGAATGTAATGCAGCATTTACTTATCCAGTATGAAATGTCTTTAAAGTGCAGGGGGAGTTATTGGCTAGCAATTGGTCTTCTCTGCAACCTGAACCACAATTATTTTTACTTCAAAAAAATCTGGAGGCGTATTCAGATTGTTTTTGTACCCTTTTTTATTTTCCCTATAACCTAATGTTACAATGAAATCAGGTTTCTAAATATTAGGGGGCACCGGCCCTGATGAAGGCACGTTCTCCCTGTATAAATTGATTGGTATCCATACAAACATTGGTGGTGCCTGATTGTGCATTTTGTCATCTGCAGAGTTTGTTAGAACATAAGAACAAAAGAAAGTTTCAAACAAGAGGCGATCATTAGACCTTGGCTTCTCCTTCACTGTGGTTCGGTGTCAGAGTTTATCTCAAATGTCTTGTTTCATCTCTGTGTCTGGAGTGATGTCCTTGGTTGACCATAACTATCCCCCTTAGAATTTTATATACCTGGACAAATTCATCTGTGAATCTCTCCAGCCTCCTCTAATAACAGGAATCAAACTTGTTGGCCTTCTTTGAACTCTTCATAAAGCTACTGTATAAAATCTAAAATAGTATTGACAATGTGTATGACAGAAATAGTTTAATAATAATAATAATAATGAAATAATAAATACATATTAAATGGAAGCCAGTCTGGACTACAGAAAATCTTCACTTGTTTTAATTAAATAAAATTCCACTCTGTAACTTATAGTCATTTTTCTTACATGCAATTTCCTCCTCTGATTGTTTTTTACTTTACAGAGTAAAAATAAACGTATTTACATCTTGCAGTACAGCCAAAATTAAGTGTACAGTCTTCATTTTTCACATGTGGCTTCACTCTAAACTCTGTGCAGTCATGCAATGGCGCGTTAAAGATTTGTCTGTACAAACGAATTGCTTGCAGTTCTTGTCTCTCCATACTTCTTTGCTGCTGCAAACAAAGTTAACACCTTCTGCTGGGTTCATCCCTGAGGATCGAACTTCAGACAGAGTAAAACATTTGGCTTTCTATTAGGAGTACGTCTTGCAGTATGAGAATCTCCTTTATTGTCCATATACAGTGAATACGTTCCTTTGGCTTTACTGAGAGAGCAAATGCAGAATACATAAAACATCCAATGGAAACCACACTGCTTATAAATGGGATAGTGTTTACTCTCAGATCATTGCCTATATCTTATGAATGCAACCTGGTCTTAATAAAGAGTCTGGGTAGTTAGAATTTAGCAAGGGCAGCAGTGATACAGAGCCCATAAAATTATATAGGAGTACTTGGCGTGTACAGTCTTGCTTTTAAAATATCTGTCTTCTGACTAGTGTGGAAAAAAAGTACCATTGCCCTTGTAATTTTCTGTGCTCTACGGGTTTGTTCTGAACAAATTATAAAACTGCAAGTGTATCAACATTTTTGAATAGTGAAACAACAATACAGGACAGAACAGAAGGGGCAAGCATATAGGTATTAGTGCTCCTTATACAGTATATAGTAGTGCTTGAGACAGTTGCATTGATCATTTGTAAGTCATTTAGTATTGCTCCAAAATGTGAAAACTTGAAAAAGCAACACGGGCAGGGATGCAAGAATTCACACTTGAATAAAAGTTTATTACGAAGGCCTTCAGAGGGCAAAATCCACTGTCAAGTGTTTTTCGAGATCAGCTGTAGTTAAACAACAATTTGTGTCACCATATAAAGAAGAGAATGCTGGTAAATAATATTCGCAGAATGATGAACTACACAAAATGGATATGTTGACACACTGCCCAAAATGAACACTAGGATGCATGCTTCACTGACTGTCCGTCTGTCAGAATGGGAGGTCTGGCCCCCAGAGTTACAGAACGCAACACATACGCTACACATAGAACAGTAGCAGAAAATGGATTTAAGTGGTTAAAAATTCAATAATAATATTTAAAAACCTTGCTGCTTAAACACTATTGATTACTTTTAGCCCATTTTCATTTTCTCCTGACTGGTTCCCGGCAGGTATTTGCCTTTAAGGTGTCAATTCACCATAGTGACTATCTGCAGTGAAGTCCTTCTGAACTTCGTAACTTAGCAACATGGTCTGATTCATTTCACATGGTAAGAAAATGTTTAATATAATTTTACTTCTTGTGCTCTAGATAAGCTCCCACAAATATTTATTTTAATTATTTTGCATGATTATTTTATTTTATTTTAGCAGGACCTAAATCTAAAATAAGTCTCTGTCTAATATTATGTGTTTATATTACAGTAGATTCAAATGATGATAGAAATAGCTCTAGAGAACTAAATAATAAGTAATTATATTTAGTTTCTGTGAGGTAAATTATCACGAATTCAGAGGTCAGGTGCAGTTTTAAATAAAAATAAAAAATGAGTTATTTTTGAGGGAACAAACATGAAGGAAATGTGAAATGGATGTTATTTTTAGATGTATTTATATGTTAATGTGCACTAACATTTGACCAGAGGTCACACAGCTAATGCTCAGAATATTTATTGGTCAGTGCATATGATTTCAGATCCAGGGTGATGATAATATAGCACTTTTAGGTATGTAATGAAACTAGGGTGTACCGCTCTAGTCCTGGAGAACAAGCAGGAAAGTAGGGGACTGACATATACAAATTCGTTGACAAAGATGTTCAAGTCTGAAAGTTCAGTAGGAAAAATCATGCCGATGATATTTGATCATCTTTTGGCTTCAATGGTTAAGAAGCTGTAACTATCTCTTACTGAACGTAAAGACTTATTTTCTGCAGTTAATATGAAAGCTTTGTACTGAGGTGGAACACATCTGTACTGGACATAATGTTAAAAAGCAGACACAATGTCAAGACTGTGAATAAGTCCTTTGTGTCCCTCTTTACCTATATTACTCCATGCATTTGCAGCTTCAGAAAACAAGCACATTTGACGAACCATTGAGAGAGTCATCAAAGTTTTCTTGATTGCAAAGTTATTCTTTTGGAACATAAACTATTTGATATGTTTCCTTTCATTGCAGGAGGTTGGTAATTAAACTTGTCCAGCAGCTGTCATAAATCTCTCCCAAAATGCTTGTTTTTTTTTTAAATCTGATGGTAATGTGCTCAGTAAAGTATAAATCATTATTTTCCAATTACAGCTTCATTTTCTCTCCAGCTCTGGCTTGCAAGAGAGCCCTGCAAAAGGTTTTTTTGGGGGGTTCTGTATTTCTAATTAGACTAACAATGAAATTTTCTTCTTCAAATTCAACTATTCTGTCTGTAATATTGAGGTTTATACTGTATATAAAGAATTAACATTTAAAAAAATAGATCATTAGGTACGGTGTGCTTAATTGGACCTTTTCCACAAAGATCTAAATGTAGGATTTTATTTTATTTCACATATTTTGCTTTTTCGTAATTGTACTTTTTCCCTTTCTGAAGTCAGTCTCCAGGGAATGCAGTCTGACTTCTTGATTAGCAGTACTGTAGGCAAGTTTGTGTCCACATGACACTTGTACACCCTTGGAATTGTTTCAGCACCAAAAAGAGTATGCTGTTATATGAGTCTGTATCATTCTGTTATTTACACAGAAAATGAAGTATGTTAGAATATTTAAGGACTATAGGACAGGTTCGTGGAAAGACTGATCCAGAGAGCACAAGAGTAGAAGTGCTTTTAAAACTAAAAAAGGAGGCACTTCTTTACACAAGGGTTGTGGGAGTGTGGAACAAGATACCCAGACATGTTGTTGAAATGGCACAGGAGAGTACTGTAGGTCTCTTGCCCATCCTGCTCATTTTCATGTAATCATTTCAACCCTGAATGAATCCTGAGACTGGGCAAAATTGACCTCAATGAGAATTGTGTTATAGACACTCTGCTCTCTTTCTGTGAAGAAGAGTTTCTTCTTCTCCGTCCTAAAAAATCTCCTTTTAGCTTCCAATGGTGATCTCACGTCTCAATTGTATTGGTTCTCTGTTTTTTTGAAGAGGTTTAACCCTTTTAACAAAGAAGGTAAAATAGCATCATGTAAAATTGTTGAAAAAGGCTTAAAAAATCTGCATTCATTAAATCATTCATTTACACTTATTAAATCTGTGATATAAATGAGTGTACATAGTCTAAAGATCTTAATTCTCCTCAATGGGCTTTTTAGCTTTCCTTGGTGCCTCTCGTTTGCAATCATCACTGAGAAGCATTTTCCAGAAGTCACTCTTCCATGAACAGGCAGTTAGTGCAGTAAATTATATTCTAAGAGGATAATATACCAGAGAACAAGAGGGTCAAGGAATTTAGCAGGACTGAAAAAGGGAAACATAGACAAGGGAAACCACTTCTTTCAGAGCTAAAATGGCTATGAAAGTCAGACAGCTTCTGTGGGCGATAGGCTAAGTCTCTGATTCACAGTGGTAAATGTTTAAAAGATAGCAGATGTCAGGAAGACAAAACAGGAAAAAAAGAAAAACAAAAAAAGCAAAAGCTTAGCAAATTGAAATTTAGTTTGGGGGATAAAATGCACAACATTTACAAATTTAACTCTTCATTTTTTTCCCATTACAGACACTGACTGGGAAAAAGTCCCACTGGCTCTCTGCAATGAGTGATTCTGTGAGGCTCTAGCCAGCAGATGGAAGTAGGTGGGGCTCTTGCAGTGTCCACATGTTGTCCACCTGTCTCTACTCTGATCCCACCGTGCATGACCTGCGTGACTGCTCTGACACCAGTTCTGTACTGTTTCATCGGGGAGCTATTAGTAGTCTCTGAGTGCCAGAAAGACAGCATGTTGAAATGTAGAAAGATGATCTTTGGTCCTTGAAGTCGTTCAAGAGAGAGAGATGAGAAGATGGGAAAGGAAGGAGCCTTCCTATTATTGATTTATGAATCATGTTAATAAAATATAAAAACTATCAGGATCTTATATCATGCAAGACAGCTGTAGTATCCACTACATGGTCTGTCAATCCATCACTGTTCTCTTCACCACATGGAGAGGCTTTTAGAAATGAATAATACTTTCTCTGCATCACTCCGTCAAGATATAATAGCTGGGAACTCTACCAAATGTCATTTTATGCATTAAATTAAAATTGGTATTCCTCTTGGTGCACATGAGTTTGTGGCATAGTTAGATCATTCTTTGAAAAAAAAATGTTTTCTCCAACTTTGCTGATAGTGTTAATCCTTAAACATTAAAGATGGTGCATCTTTTATACCCAGTATTTTCAGCCTTTTGAACAAAAAGCTCATCGTAAACAGGAATCTAGAGCATGTATCACTAGAGGGAAAAGGAGAATTTTGAATTAGATTGCAAACCTGAACTTTGGCAAGTTACTTTTCAACTTGGAAATGGTTTGAAACTTGTTCATTTCAATGTTTTTTTTATTGCCAACCAACAATGTGAACCGCTGCAACACCATGCCATCTCATAGTGTTATCAGCTAACCCAAAATGTATTATCACACACTTGAAGAAGGTTCCACATCTGAAATGTTGTATTTCTAAAACTTTATTTTTATTTCTCTTGGTGGAATTAATCTCCTTTGCACCTTGAACACGCAGTTCTGTAGTTTAATTGCTTGAGTATTAGTTGCTGAATCATGCTATTGATTCCCATTTAATTCTATACAGTAAGTTCTTGGCAAAGGTAGGATATTCTCAGTAATTTCAATAAATTCTCACTTTAACACAATCTTGGGATTGTAAAAAACATGACGTTGACTTGGTACTGACAGTACTGCACTGATCAGCCACAGTCATGCTGCTGTGCTTGATGTTCCTTGTGGAATCAATCTTGTTAAATATTGAATTACATCACAGTGTTTAGTTTCTGTTATGAGGTGTACTTCTAGTAAATAGACAGGCATTTACTCAAACTAGGTAAATATAACAATCACTAAATCTAGCAGAACAACTCTCATGTTAATTCAGGAAGAAGTAATTGGTTTTGTAAATGAATGTGAAGAATCTTATAAAGCTTCCTCTTAGCCAATTTCCTATAAAATTTGATATCTAATCACCACTACACCACACTACCACCGCTTCCTGCTCTGCTGTCTGCAAATTAGCTACAGGCAGTTTGCCAATGTTTAGTCACAGATACTGTAGCTCTGCTTCAAGGAGCTTAACATGGAGAAGCAATACAAAGGAAAAAAGAATCGCTGGGTAGCCATCAGTTAATTCACAGTAGTGCTGTGTCAAAATGGACTGGGGTAACAGAACTGCCTAAACCAACACCCTCCTCTCTCCCTACCCACTACAGATCACAGAAATACTTGCCTCAGGGATCTGTCATCGCATTCATGACAATGAGCTCACTTTTGAACCATGCTACACCTAAATAATCCACACAGACACCAGTCCATCGCAGATCACACACAGATACAGACACACACACTCACACCACAGCCAACTTCCTCAGAAGCTAAGTAACCTACCAGTATGCCTTTGGACTGGGGAAGAAAACCCAAGGTTTTCGTAAGGAGACGATCTCAGCAAGCAACAGGCTCAAGGTGGGATACGCCCTGGACGGGACACCTGTCCATCACAGGGCATTCACACACATGCACACACTTACACCAGGGCCAGTTAACTTAATAGTGAGTCTGTGGACTGTAGTAGAAAACTAAAGCATCTGGAGGAAACCCATGTGTAACGAACAGTTCTTTCCGGACCCTATGCGGACGACACAGTCCGACGGAGTGGGGGAACACTGGGGAAACGTCATGCAGGAATACGGGGCTGGTGCACGGGGGAGGCGTGGCCGAGGAGAACAATCCGAGAGAGTAGTCCTTAGGGAATATCCAAAATGCAAGGGTAAGTCCAAAACCAGGAGATCCATCAGAACAAGAAATTAAAACCACGAAGGCCGGGTCGGAACCGGCGGAGAGGGAACAGGAACGGGAACAGAGATTAAAACCTTAACGGGACCAGGCGCTTCCAGGTCCCGGACTCGCACGTTATGGAAATCAGATGCAGAGCCCGGATGAGCGTCAGCGCCTGGCTTTTAAGGTGGGCTGGGAATGGGGAACAGGTGCAGAGAATAAAGTCTAAGTGAAAGGGCTGGAGCACCCTTAAGGAGGGGGAACTATAATCGTGACACCATGTGAACAAGTCCACATGGATAGCACCTCAGGTCCAGAATTAAACCCAGGGCCCCAGTGCTGACAGGCAGCTATGCTGACCACTGTGCCACTATGCCCTTCAGATTACATGTGTCTGTTCATTTTTTTTATACCTGATCATGGTAGATAATAAATCATAAATACATAAATAATACAATAAATACAAATGAGCACTGCAATAAGGATGCACTTTCAAAAATGATTCTCCTTGGCAGCCAGGAGCAAAGTGAAGGGTTTTTGAAATGCCGTAAGGTGAGGAATTCTCAACCCATGACAGTGGTATTTGAAACAAGCAAATCTGCAGTTTTATAACTACTGTACTGTGCTTATCCATAATGCTCAAAATTGATTCCCCTTTGTTACTAGTACAGAGAAAGCCACTGTTTCAGTATTTCAGAGGTCATTCATAAGTATGAGCATTATTTTCCAAAAAGAAAGTACTTCTCTTCCCTGAAACTGTTTTGCCATTAGACGTTTCCTGATGATTCTCTCTCAATTTGTCTGACGCAGTAAGCTAGCAATCTGCCTCAGAAAATGTCAACAGGGTTTTTTTGGAAATGTTTTCACACAAGTCATTATACAATATTTACTGGTTGACGGAACTACTTTTTTACTTATTTTAATACAGTATGTGTGTCAAGCCCTGGAGATGACCTTATTTGGGAAAATTCTGGTGCAGGAATTTTCCTCCTGCACTGTGATTTGGAGCATGTCATTTGCTACACCAAGGGTGTAAACATATTCAAAAGTGTCCTGCTTGTTTTCACAACAGTTGTCTTTTTTAAACTTCTGCATTGTAGTTAGAATAATTCCTCTTGGGCTCATTCTAAGCACACATAGAACTGGTTCAATTAAAGTCTTGAATGAAAAGCCATTTTGTGTACATTTCGTAAAGCGGCTGTAACAGAGTGCAGTCTGCAACAGCTAAAAGCAGCATTTATGTTAGATAACAGGCCAGTTCTGCCTGGCTGCCACACATTGCCCAGTCTGCACATGGACAGAATGAATACCAATTGGAATGACACTGGATTGAAGCAATCATTGTAAGCTTGAGGTCCATTTATTTTTAAGTAGCAGCCTTTGGATTTAAGGAGCTTAATCTAATGTAAAAGTTTTTTTTTGGCAGGTATTCCAGTTTTTCATTTTTAATTATCTAAAGAGCTGAGGTGCTAGCCGTTTCCTCACTGCACTTTGTAGTTATACTCTGTGTGTTTTTTTAAAAAAAATAGTCCCAGAGGTTTCTCAAAAGGATAATATATAGAGAAGGTCTGGATATTGGTAGGGCTTATTCGTGGGATCCATTGAATAGGTTCCATTAAATTCTTGCATGAAAAGCCCTGTTTTTGTACATCCAGCACAGCGGGCATAGCAAATGGCTGTCTGCCAGAGCTAAAGGTGGCATTTTGACTATAACAGCTAGTGTTAAAATTCTTTCAGATGGCTGAGAAATTCATAGAGCCAGAGCTCATCCAGGTTCTAAAGCATTAATCAGACTGAGGCGCGGTACTGCACTTGGACAGGACACTAGTTCATCATAACTATTGTGACTATAATAGAATCTTTAAATATGCTGATTTAAAGATTTGAACAGACAGATTTTGTAGACACAAAACTAGCCAAAATTAAATGAACGTCCACTTAGTTTCCACTAATTTCCTTTTATTCTTCTTTCACTGTTGATATTGAAGAGCTCTGACTTTTCAGAGTTCTGAGTACTTGAACCAAGAGTGGGTGAAAGAGTTATTTTAGGGTACCCAACATGAGCCCAGGTTCTTTTTGGAGGTCAAGTAAATTCAAAGTTGTGGGGGAACTGGAGCAGGCACACGGACAGATGCCAGCCCATCTCAGAGCACACACTCACACAGGGTCCAATCTTCACAGAAGCCAATTAACCTACAGTATCAGCAAGGCTATGAACCGTGGGAGGAAACCAGAGTGCCCAGAGAAAACCCATGCAACCCCATGTTTGTGTGGGAGACCACACAAACTCCACACAGATAGTACAGTACAGACAGAACCAGAATTGAACCCAGGGCCCCAGCGCTACGAGGCAGCAATGCTAACGACTGTGCCACCAAGTCACCCTTATTTTTCACAATAAATTATTTTTCTTAGCGTCACATCATAGATTACTTTCTGCTGAAACTCATGTCACTTGTAGTCCAGGCTGGTGTTAATCAAAAGATGAAAAGAGTGAACACTGCTGGATTGAGCTTCTTTGCTGCTTGTTTAATTATTGATACCATGACTGCAGTTTGAAACTAAAGGCTGAGGAATCCACAGACATTACTCTTCACTGTTTTGCAGGAGGTGTAGTTACACCGTAGAATCGCTAATTAGACTGTGGTCATCCACCTTTAAGCTACAGTGCTGTGGGCTGCAGTGCTTGTTTAGAGCTAACCAAGAGGGAACTTGTGAAAGCAGGGATGGCACCAGCAGAATTTTTCTTTTTTTCTAAAAAAAAGTTATCTTTGATGCTTAGTGTCGCTCTCAGGAAATTTCCCCAGGCTGACTCTGAGTTGCATAACTTCAATCATGAACTCTAAATAGCTTTAAAGTCAACATATTCATTTTTTATGAGCCACGCTTTCCAAAGTTAAATGTCCACCCCCACCCCACTCCCATCACCCCACTGAACGCTCTGTTCAGGTTTCAGGTCAGGGCTTTGAAGTCACGTTTAAGTGAGGAAGCTGGAAGGCAGATGAGGGCAATTTCTACCTGTTTTCCCTCGGTACCTGTTCCTGCAAGTGCTTGAGGCATGATAAGGAGAATTAAATGTAGCCGTGTTTTTTTTCCTCCCAAAGGATAACAAGTGCTTCTTTTTGCTCAGCAGACATTGCCAGTCAGCAGTGAAACACAAACCACAGGATGAAAGAAGGAACATTGGGAAAGTGCTTTTATAACTAAATACTGTTAAACACAAAGC